CAGCTGTGGTCGACGGGGTACAAAGGGAAAGCCCGGTGGTGGTGGAGGAGGCTGGAGTGGTCGCTAGCGAGGCGAACAGCGTGGGCCCGGCACTGGTGGTGGCCGCGGCGGGTGCAGGAGCAGCTGGCTGAGTGGCTCCTGCTCCAGTGGTTGCCGGCGTGGCGGGAGTGAAGGGCAGTCCGCCCAGTGCCGTGGGCTGGGCCAAACTCCCCACGGAGCCAATATTGAAACCGGAGGTCCCGCTCTGGGACGTGCTTCCGCCTGTGAACGAGAATCCCCCCGGTGTGGTGGACGGAGCGGCAGAGGTGGTGGTGGAGCCGAACACAAAGCCAGCGGGTGCTGTGCTCTGGCTGGAGGTGACAGTGCTCGAGATGGCGTTGGTGAGGGTGCTACTGCCAAGCCCAAAGCCGCCAGGGTGAGCAGTGGCTGGGGTGGCGGCTGCATTGCTCAGGTTTAGCTTCGGAGCGCTGATCCCTAAGGAGAATCCCGTTCCTCCCGTAGCAGGAGTTGTGGTTCCAAAACTGAACCCTGGGGTCTGTGTCGCTGGAGCTTGGGTGGTGAGCGAGAACAGGCCAGTAGAAGGGGTGCTTGCAGCTGGCTGGGAGGGAGTCCCAAAGTTAAACCCGCCAGTGCCAGACGTAGAGAAAGAGAAGCCGGTAGCAGGCGTGGTTGTTGCCGTCTTTGCGGTGCCAAACGTGAACCCGCCTGTGGGGGCCCCAGTGCCTCCAAAATTAAACCCGCTCATGGCTCCAGATTCCGGCGGCAGCGGCTATTCTGACTCCCAGAGCAAATCCCTCGGTGTCTGCAACCTTGGGAAGATTTTCAAAGCACAGTAAGTCACATGATCAGATGGCAGTTTGGGAAAGGCAACCTCAATGGCATGATGGAACGTGTGGAGGGTGGCAGGACTTTGCATAATTATAATACGTGCTTGCCACCCTGCTCCCTGCTACAGCCCAGACAGGCCCTGTTAAACTAGCAAAGAAAGATTCGGAAGCATAAGCCGGTGCCCTGGGGGTCAGGTGCTCGGGGCTAGATGCGCTTGGGCGGTGCGCAGCCAGGTTCAGCACAAGCAGGAGTATCTGCTGCCGTGGAAGAGAAGGCCAAAGAGCAGGCACCTGAGCTGACCTCAGCCCCGAGGAGGGCACACAAAATAACACCTGGAGGACCGGCTGCCCAGGATACCGTGCCAACCACAGGTGGGAGGTGGTGGGTGGTGGGCTGATCTGGCCGAGTGCCACACTGACTGCCCTTCTGGACTCACAGAAAGGCCCCAGAAAGCTGAGCTGCACGGCAGGGCCTGAGGTGGCGAAGGTCCCATCTGTGCACACCCCTGACCTGTTAGGAGGATGGAGGGCGTGTTGGCACATCCCTCTGCCCTCCTTCTAACTCAGGGGTGGACGGGAGACCCCAGTCAGCTAACTCAGACCTCCCCTGGGACTGCTCTCCAGGCACTCAAGCGGAGGTGGCCTTCACCTGCAGGTGTAGGGCACAGAGGATGCACATGTGGGGCACCCCCCTCCTTTTCGGCCATCTGCAGCCGAGCTGCCACCAGAGAGAGTGACAGTGGGGAGAGGGAGAAAGTGATCATGTGCCCAGAGGATCTACACGTACTCAGAGGCCCCACCCCATCTTCCTTAGAAGCTCCGTGAGCCAGCACAACCCTGTTCAGTCTAAGCCGACTAGATTTCTACGATTTCTGACTGAAAAAGACCCAAGCAGAGTCACCTGTTAGCTGACGCAGGGGCTGCTCACAGACGCTCACTCTCACTAATACCTGGAGACAGGGATTCTGTCCTCGAGACAGAGTGGGGTGAGGACAGTGGGGCTCATAGGGCTGCGGTAACTTGCCCAGGATCTCCCAGCCAGCAAGGGGTGGAGCCAGGAGCTGACCCCAGGCCACGGGCCTGTTTGCTGACTTCTACTGGCCCAGCATGGGTCCCGGACAACAGGGCACTTTCTCACACCAAGCGAGGGGATTAAGTTTTCGGTGTAAGGGAAGAGCTGCGTTACACCTACTGACAGACTCTTACGACACACAAGAAATGTAAGAAGTGACAACAAAGGGACCTGGGCAGAATGCACATCACTAGTGCAGTGTGATCTCAGCTGTGGAAAACAGAACTTTCAAGGAGGGCAGGAAGGGCTAAACGGCTGATGGGCATTAAGGAGGGAACTTGTTAGGATCAGCACTGGGGGTTACAGTTAAGTGTTGAGTCAATAAATTCTATTCCTGAAACCAATGTTACATTGTATGTATGTTAACCAAACTAGAATTTAAATAAAAACTTGAGGGGTGCCTGGGTGGCTCAGTCAGTTGAGCGTCTGACTTCGGCTCAGGTCATGATCTCATGGCTCATGAATTCGAGCCCCGCGTTGGTCTCTGTGCTGATGGCTCAGAGCCTGGAGCCTGCTTCAGATTCTGTGTCTCTTTCTCTCTCTTGAAATAAATAAACATTAAAAAAAAATGTTTAAATAAAAATTAAAAAAAAAAAAGGAAAAAAAAGGAGCACAGGAAGGAGACACACCGATGTGGACAGGGCCCATCTTTGGGTGGTGGGACTACATCATCTCCTTTCTACTTTGATGTTTGTTCTGTCCATACAATGGAGGGACATAATCTATAAGCCTGGTGTTTCAAAGAGGCTCAAATTATAGGGTGTGGATTCAGTCTGAGGAACCAGTGAACTTATGCAGCCAGGTTTTAAAATCACAACTCAAGTAGGATAGATGGAGTTACTGAATTAAACAAGCCTCCCCTAGGCTGGCCCTGCCTCAAAGGTGACTGGGGTTGGGGTGGGGCCAGACCGAGGTGGGGAGGTGGAGCTGACCCTGAAGGTGGTGGGAGCCCTAAATAGTTTCCAGTGGAGTCAGTATGGGAAGTGCTATTAACCATGTGGTCCCCCTGAAGATGCCCACACCCGAATCCCTGGAACCTGGGAATATGCTGCTGTGTGCGGCAAAAGGAATTTCCAGGTGTGATTAAATTAATGGTTTTGAGATGCAGAGGAAGTGACCCAAGCATGGGAACACACAGACCTCTAGAAGCTAGAAAAAGGTGACAGCAGGTGCCCTGCTGACACCCTGCTTTTAGCCCTTTTGAGACTGAATTCAGACTTTGCCTCCTGAACTGTAAGAAAATAAATCTGTCATTTTAAGCCAAGAAGCTGCTGTAAATTTGTGAGAGCAGCCATAGGGAAAGAACACGGTTGGAAAGCATAAAATATCTGACAGACCTGAGGTAGGACCTAGTGGCTCCCTAGGGCTCCGGTTTCAAACGAGGGACAGGAAACCTCTCTGAGACTCAGTTCCCTTATCAGGAAAGTGGGGCGGCAGCTACTGGGCTGAAGCGAGGCCAGCATCCGTGGGATGCGAGTTAGGGTGCTCGTTATCACTGCTGCCATGCGCAGGCACACGCTTGAAAGTTTTACTTTGGGGACAGCCTCTGGAAGCTGGTGAGGAAAGAAGGAAAGGAGCCCAGGAGGGGCCGCAAACACCCAGCTGTAAAGAAGTTCTTCTGAAAGAAACGCGGGGGTTGAGGCCGACCTCAAGTTTAACGCGAATTCACGGTAGGCTGCCACGAGATGTAGACCCCGGGGGGATTTCCAGGCAGCCAGGTGTACCCGGCACCGTGCTACGTACACTCTCCCTCGCCAGGCCCCCAGCTAATTTCACACCGATCCTACAGAGAGGTCGGGATGACTGTGCCCCGGCACAGATGGGAAAAGAGAGGCTCAGATGGAAGTAACTTGTCCATTCTTATCCCACAGTGGGCCCTGAGCCCTGGCCTTGGGCTGTAAACCCCTCTTTAGTTCTACCCTGTCAAACAGGTGCACCTGGTCACAGGGCAAGCAGCCCTGCTTTGGGGCACGGACGCTGTTCTGCACCCCAGCCTCCATCCAATACCCGCGTTTCTTACTTCCCTTTCATCCAAGACAGCAAAGGTAGTTCGCAGGCAAGACAGCTCCCTGTCCTGAGGCACGAGGTTGGTTCTTCAGGCTTCAAGACCTGTGTTCGAACTCTGCTTCCACTGCTAGCCGTGGGGACTGGGGCAAGTTATTCCTGAGCCTCTCCAAGCCTCAGTGCCTCCCTCTGTAAGGAGGACAATCCCCTCCCACTGTGAAGAACAAGGTCACAACTGAGAAGCCTGGCCCAGGGAAGGCATCCCCAAGTCCCGATTCCTTTCCCCTCTCCCTCTTCAGGACCAGTTTTACTTCTGCAAGGGTCTCCTGGGATCCTCTTGTGGCCCGGGTCTGAGGAAACCTGTGGCGGCTGCCCCTCTCCAACGTCCACTGCACCCTCTGCCTTCCTGGCAGAGCCTGCCATTCCGTTCTCCTGTTCCGCATAGACACGCACCTCTAAGGAGAGGACCTCGGGGCTGCCTGGTCTAAGCCTGGGGACCTTGGCTGGCTGCCCATCAGCACCTCTGGGGGCAGGTTCTTGGGGGCGGCGCCCCGGCCGTGGCATTTTTATAAAGCTCTTCCGGGGGTTCCGGGAAAGGTCCCTTCTCTCCCGCCACAGCAACGCCTGAGCCCCCAGGGCCGCCGGCGCCCCGCACTGGACCCCTTCTTCGTGAGAGCCCAGCTCCCCACTCAAGTGCCGTGTCAAGCCAGGTCCGTTCGGGTTACTGGCGGCCAACAGCCTCTGAACAGCTACCACCTACGCGTCTCAGTTCTCAAGACCTCAGCCCCACAGAGCTTCTATGAATAAGCTGCAGCTAAATTTTTCCACAAGAGCATTTATAAAAAGGTCTCTGTAGCTGTTAAAAAACTAAAAGAAAAACAATTTTCCGCGGGGGGCTTTTGTGGCTTCATGGTTCACCATTTATTAAATGCCTCACGTGTTTCTGATTCTACAGGAGCCAGGAGCTACTCGCAGTGGCAAACACACACCGACTCGGCCCCACGCTTTGCACTTAGATGTATTATTGCTCATTTACTCCTGAAAGCAGGTCCCTTTCCTAAGCCAGGAGAGTGAGGCCCAGAGGTTACTTAAGCCATGGCCCTCGTCCTTGAGGTGGCCAAACGTGACCTTCAGTACCAGGGCACCAGGCAGGGACAGGACCGGGTCGCGTGTTGTACGAGCAAGGACAGGTCCTCATGCTGGCCTGGGCTCTGGGGAGCACTCTCCTGGAACTGAGTGTGGAGGGGAGATGTGAGATCAGCCAGGATCGGCCAGGCGGGAGGGGAGAAGGGCCTGGTCGCGGGCACAGAGAGGCTGAAACCGCAGGTGTGTCTGTGCACACAGTGAAGGGTGGACTCGGCAGGCCCGGATTATCCAAAGAAAAGACTGGCCCGTGTCTGGTTCCTGGGAGATAACCTCCAAGCCCCCAGAGCATCCTGCCAGCCTGCCCTCGGCAGGGGCCAGACACCAAGTGACGAAGATCAGTCACGCAGATGCTCCGTGCCTGTGTGAAGATCCTGGCACCAGGGCTCAGGGGAGCATCCCTGGAGGGCAACGCTCCACGTGTGTGGTCACACAACGGTGCCTGGAGAACCAAGTGCGGTGCTGTCGGGTCAGCTCCACTGGGAGACGAGCGGGAGCTCACACCTGGTCTCTCCCAGACTCTGCCCTGTGCATCTTTTACCTTTGTTGACTCTCCTCTCTCTTTTGCCATGACAGGGGCAAAATCTAACAGGTTTGCCGAGTTTTAGGAGTCCTTCTAACTAATCAGTGAACACAAGGGTGGTCTTGGGGACCACGGTGCACAGTGTGTGTATAGCACCACGTGACGGGAGCTGTTGG